CTTACTTTATATGAACTCTAATCACAGCTTAATAAGTGTAAGTACAAAAATCTGTGATAAGTGTTCAGAGAGTCCACAGTAAAAGCAAGCCTGCAAACGAAAGAAAGCACTTCTCTGGCATAAAAGAAAAGAGTCTCACACTTTTCCCCCTCCTCTCTCTCTGACTACTCACACTCAGAAATAGCCACAAAATAAAATCTTCAAAATGAAGATGTATTTATGACACTAAGTACATCTGACAGAAGAAGAAAAATGTATTCTTCAGAAGAATAAAAATAACTTAAAGACATTCCCATCAACATTTACATGTTTTTGTTGTACATTATCTTAACACACTCCCACAAATACTTGTCGCTGGAGTCCATTGACAAGGTTTCATGCTATTCACAGGCATTAAATCAGGCCATTCATTCTTTGCAAACAAGAAGAGATAAGTTTCCTCAGAAACATTCAGAGGAAAGACTTTTGGTCATTCACTCAGTCAAACTCATACAGCAGCAACAATTAGCTATGTGGCCATTTAGACTGAAGGCAGGGAACTGACATTCAAATTGATGAGACAATGATTTGTGGAATTTTCAGTCAATTATTCCTGCATATTTTATGAGCATTTACTTTTTAATGTGCTACAGACGATCCTCCGACTTGTCAATAATGCCTGTCACATTCGTTCACGAAAATCTCACAATTTTGCCCCTGGCATGAAATTAAAAGCTGTACTTTTCTCTTATGGGAAGAAAGCTTCTTATGAATGTGGTCAGTTGATGATAAATGAGAACTTCCAATGCACAGCATAGAAAAAAAAATACTAACTAGTGGTATGTCTCCTGGCCTCTTCTACTTGGACACTCATTTATGCCAATTTAGTTGATACCTTATTAAAGGCCTATCTGGAATACTTCAATACTGTCACATAGTTAATCAATATTTATAAAAAAAACATGTCAAATGAATCTACTAATAGGGAGGAATGACAACACTACAATTTGGCTTCAGGAATCAGAAGTCTAAGAATTCAATTCTCACTTCTGACGTATTACACTAAAGAAATTAAAGTTAGTTAAGTAAGGCTCATTCTGCTTCACCTCTGCAGAAGCTTGATTAGTTCTACTCTGATTTTAAAGAATAGGATATTTACTTATATACTTGTTTACTTTAAAAAAAAAACAACAACAAAAAAACCCCAAACTAAAACCAAATACCTGGTAACATCAGATTTATTCCATTTACAATTTTTTAAAAAATCTATTATGCTCAAAGATTTACAAAGTTCCTTTTGCTGCAGTAGCCTTGTGGGTTTTATTTTGCAAGATTACCATAAATGATGCTGCGCAGATTAGACTTGAGCAAGTAATGTGTCTTTAGACTGTGTCCAGTAATATCTGTACAATTCATCACTAGTAAAATTATGAAACTATAGCTCACAGTATTGCTTAGAAATATAATTTCGATTGGAAGTTAAAAATGCATGGAGAAGTACTATGTCACAACCCTGCAACCATATGCAAGGCTGACAGTTAAAAAACTAACAGAAACCTCTCACAAACAGCAAGGGAAAGACCTTGTGACATTAATCTGACATTAGTCTGCCCTTTATTATTACACAGAGTAAAAGCATTCTTGAACAAATTTTAAAGACACTGTAATCAAAGCTTCCAAAATTCAGAAGAGTAAATTGTGATTGTTAATACAAATAAAATAATATAATCTAGATATCACATTAATTTATTACTTATGTTTACTGGGTTTATGGTTAATATAATACTAATAAAGAGTATTTTGCACCCCTATAATATTCAACATACTGTACATTCCTGTCACTTAGAAAGTGGACTAACTGCACAATCCTAAAGTGTTCTTGGGAGCTGGTGGTATGTGCCACCAAGTCTCAAACACAAAGAATTTTCTAATTCCCAAAGCTGCATGAAAGGAGTTACAGATTTTTAATGAGTATTATTACCATTGTCTTCATTTTAATAACATTAACAATTACAGCAATTTATTATAGCATTAACTGAAAAACATTGTCTGGGAATACCCTTCTTGGTGAAAGTTGAATCGTTTAAGATTTGATTTTTGAGAGCTGTTCTACCACTTATACATGTAGCAAGATCTTCACAATCAGACATACTTTTGTGCATTGTTTAGGTACGTTGGCACAAAATATGCTGTATTCATTAAACAGAATTTTTAAAAAATCATCTGATAAAGACTGAAAATTTTTACTTGGGAATGATCTCATGCAATATATACATCTTCCTGTAAATGCCAAGAATTATTCCACAAACATCAAAGAATTCTAACACTGAGTTCCTGTTTCAAGAAAAACTTGTTTCATCTATCTCTGTCACCCTTCTCAAGATCCTCCACCCAAATGTCTTTTGGAAGACATCTCTGCCAAAAGCAGCACCTTCACAACTGTAGGGCAGTATACTGAAACATATGTCTTAGGGAAAAAGAAATTATAGTTTAAAAGTACACTGAGCACCCAAGGCTGTCCCACTGATGGAACACCTGTGTCCAGTGCCTTCAAAGGGGTATCATTTGTTGCTTCAACTCCTCATAACATCACCCCAACTCCACCAGTGTCCCTTAAGACACTTTCACCCATGGTATTCTGTGGTTAATTTCAGGGGCACTCACTCCGCTGGTCCATATGCATGTGCTGACCAGATGGAACCGCAGAATCCCACAATGTTAAGGAGGCGGAATGGACGCTACAGATCATCCAGTCCCACCCCTCCCTGTCACAGGCAGAGACATCGCCCACTACACCAGGTTGCTCAAGGACTTACGCAGCCTGGCCTAGAACGCTGCCAGGGATGGGGCACCCAGAACCTCCCTGGGCAGCCTTTTCCAGTGTCTCACCACCCTCACAGGAAAGAATTTCTTCCTAGTACACAAGCCAAAGTTCCCCTCTTTCCGTTTGAACCCATTGCCCCTTGCCTTATCACTACAGTTCCTAATGAAGAATCCCTCTCCAGCTTCCCTGTAGGCCTTCTTCAGATACTGGAAGATGGCTATGAGCTCCCAACACAGCTTTCTGTTCTTCAAGCTGAACAGTCCCAAATTTCTTTGCCTGTCTTTGTAAGGGCGGTTATCCAGTCCTGGAGGACTCCTAGCCAACAACATGGGGAACAGGAGTCTTTCTCTTTGACCTTCCCTTCAAATGTTAGAATATATATATATATATAAAATAGAATCACCATAAAACCTTTATCCTGCTTTCAAACTTGGTTAAAATTACCATGTTCAATCCTTAATAGCCAAAGAATCACACACATCTCACTTCCTGAGAATACAAAGACAAAAAGCACAGAAGTTATTCCCAAAACTGGATCCATGCTTGTAAGCGAGAAGATAACCTCCGGGATGTGTTTCCGACCCGGGTTTTCCCAGTGCCACGCTCCCGGGAGTCAGGCCCCGGCGGAGGGGCCCAGCCCCGCAGCGCCACCGCCGCCCAGGAGGCGGCAGCAGTGAGCACGGGCCCCGCCGCGCCGAACGCGCCCGAGGCTCTCCCGGCAGCGCCGAACCCAACAGGCTTCCATGGATTTGGGAGCGCCTCGCCCTGGGCCTTCCGCAGCGTCTCCACCCCTGCTTCAAATAGGGTGATCAATTCTTACGACACAACTTTTCAGTCTTGAGCTAAGAAGGCGAAATGAGCATAAACCCAAATAATGGAGCAAGTAACGCATGTAACTCAGAACATAAACTGAATTAATTTATTGGGCGCAGACAATAAAGCTTTCTTTTCACAAAAGAGATGGGGGACAGCTTCAGATCCTTTAATTACATATCAGAAAAAAATCCCAAATTCTGAAGGTTCTCCTAGTTTTCAAAAGCCCATCACTAGGTTGTTATATCATAGTACTTTTACCTGAAGGATTCTTCACTCTGAGGGAGAGAGCATTATGCCATTTCAGTTGTTTTAGTTATCCTCCCACATGAAAAATGGTCATTCAGAAAATTTTTGAGAGGAGTGGAAATTTAATTACCTACATTTGTGAACCAAACCCAAAACTTAAAATGTCAACTTCTCCTAGCACTTATGGGACATCTGTCTTCCCTAATCTTTAGTTTAAATAAAAGGCCAGCTACATTTTCTGACAGTATTTCCTAAAAGCCTGCTCTAGTGGAGTTCCTCCACCACAGCAGATGTCTGCGTCAGATTGCACAGGACAAAGGCCGCCAAAGTCTGCTGAATCAGAAACAAACCCCCTCCCTCTACCAACCATTTAGGAAGGTAGCCGCATATTACTGTTGCACCGGTCTTGCGCATATATCACAAAATGACCTTTTGTCACTCTGTTTCCTCCCAAGGAGGGGGAATAGCAAGACGCAGACAGCACAGATGTTGATGTCTCTCTTTGCACATGTTTCCAGAACCAGACAGTACCCACACGGGGAGTACAAGAAGGCTGGACATGGATTTTTTACAGGGGCATGAAGTGACAGGACAAAGGGGAATGGCCTTAGACAAAGTTTAGCTAAATGTTAGGAAGAAACTTTTCACCCAGAGGGTGGTGAGGCACTGGCACAGGCTGCCCAGAGAAAGCGGGGATGCCTCATCCCTGGGAGGGCTGAAGGCCAGGCTGGCCGGGCACGCTGGCACGGACAACACACCGACCGCAGGAGCGAGGCACGCACAGCGCTCGGCACGCAGCGCAGGCCCGGCCCCACCGCCACGGCCACCTTCCCCTGCCGACCTCAAAGCCTCAGGGAGGGCCTGCCCGACGCCTCGCTGCCCATGTCATCCCTTCCCCGGCGGGCTCGTCCCCGCCAGCTCCCGCGGAGGGTGGAAGGGGAGGCCGGCGGACGATCCGCACTAGCGCATCCCCTTCCCGCCACGACAGCCCCCGGCCCGCGACCACCGCGGCGCAGACAGCGGGGGCAGGACGGGCGAGAAGCCGCCGCTCCCTTCAGCGGCTGGGCAGGTCTCGCCGGAGCTCCCCGCGCCCGCTCCGCTCCGTCCCGCCCCTCCCTCCCTCCCCGCCGCTTACCGCGCCCGCCGCCCCGCACCATTGGAGTTTTCGCGCGCGCTGCCCCGCCGCCCCGGGCCGCGCCTGCGCCGAGGGGCGGGGCGGGGCCGCCGGTCCCCTGGTGCCCCGGGGCAGCGCGCGTCTGCGGGTTTGGGCTGGGGTTTTGGAGGAGGCTCTTAGAGGGTCGCTGGCAGTGGAACTGGCCTCCCGGTACTAACCCTGTCTGAGTTAAAGAATTGTTTGGATAAGGCTCTTAAGCACATGGTTTTACTCTTGCGGATGTCCTGCGCAGGGCCAGGAGTTGGATTTCCATGGTCCTTGTGGGTCCCTTCCAACTCAGGATACTCCGTGGTTCTTTGATTCTGAATCTGTGATTCAGCCTGCCCCAGCCACACACGCTTGGCGTCCTGACCCAAACACGGGACATAAGAGGCAGAGCTGTGGCAGAAACCCTGTCGGTCTTCGGGGCCTGTTCACTCCCAGGGGTCCCTAGCGAAACTGAGGCGCCTCTGTTGCCCGCACACTGAAAACTCACCGGGCACACTGAAACACACACTGAAAACCAGTGACATGGGCAAAGGCAGTCTGAAACACACACTGAAAACCAGTGACATGGGCAAAGGCAGTCTGAAACACACACTGAAAACCAGTGACATGGGCAAAGGCAGTCTGAAACACACACTGAAAACCAGGGACATGGGCAAAGGCAGTCTGACCCTGCATGTGCAGCTCAGGAGCGGCTCCACAGGGAAAGCAAAGTGACAGGGACACGGCGGCTCCAGTGTGGGTTGTGTCTTCTCAGCCGCCGTACACTGAATTCTGGCCGTGGCCAGGCCAAGGTGCCTGCCCACAGTCTTTGTCCTTTGACCATGAATGAATAAAACCCCTCAGCTCTGCCACTTTTGGTAAGACTAAGTGCAAAACGTTAAACTTTTGCTTCTTTTCAGTTCTCTGAACATAGAAGGTCCTTGTATCCCTGTGAACAAAATGTTATCAGTATGAGTACAGACATACAGTAAATAAGAAATATTGTTTTGAATAAACTTAGGGTTGGAAATAAATATGTGGTTTACTGAAATTTTTGTTGGTGCCAAAATGAGAAATATAGACAGGGTGAACCCTACTGTCCCTCAGTTTGTTATAAAGCATTAGTAATAAAACTACCAAGACCTGTGCTCTGACGCTGATCCTCAGAGCAGTCCTGCTGAAAATACCAATGCTACACAACCTGACTACTTGGTTCATTTTTGCTCATTACTCTCTAGCCTACTTACACAGTCGTACTTAATTCTCTTGCTCTCATTCTTCCTCTTCAGCTTATCTACTCAGCTCCTTCTCCTGTTTACCCTGGTAGTTCTTTCACTCCTGCCTGCTTTTACTTTCTTGTTCACTATTTGAAATATAGAGCTGGTGGGAAGTTGCTACTATATTTCCACACTTTTTTTTTTTTTTTTGAGAAGCCATCAGCACACAGAATTTTCTGTTTCCTTGCATCTTCCTCCAAATATATATTCTTACATCTCCTTGTCCTTATTTCTTCCATGAAGAAACTGGATAGTCAAGCACTGATTCTTACCTGTGGAAAAACAAAACAGAGAAAAGAAAGAACAAAGTTACTAAGGCAAAATGCTCTCTGTCTTTAGCCTAGTTTTCATGTGGATTTTAAATTAAATTGCAATGACATCATTAGTCTGAATTATAGGCTAGTTTGTATTAGACTTGTATTCAAGATTTAAAGTTTGCTTGAATATATGACAACCACGGCACCTGAAGTTAAAGTTGCTATTTTTCTTTTCTCAATTTTATAAGACCAGCTGATGTTCAAACTCCTTACTCCCATTCAGCTTTCATATTTTTGCATTCATTCTTGCATTATTCTTTTTTTTTTTTTTTTTAGAGGTTGCCTCTTGATCACCACTGCTTTCAATTTTCTATAAAATGAGACATCCCTATCAGTACAAAAGCAAATTCAGCCTATCCATATAGTGAAATTCCCATGCATTACTTGAATTACTTTTTCCATTTCATCCTATCAAATCAGAAACACCTGATGAATTAAAGGCTTGTTTGTAAAAATTTCAAAGTTCTTTCTTGGGAAACAGCAACTGGTCATCAGGCAATCCATCAAGACAAACTGTCAGGTATATTTCCCATACGTCCAACACATTTGCAGACCACAACTTGGAGCTTTGTATGTAATGCCCATATTCACACAGTGAGTCCAGTTCATAACTCATGCAACTCTTTTAATCATTCTACTCCTATTTTTTGTCAAGTGAAAACATGGAAGAATTTGTATATGTTTTCTACCATGAATTGTGTTAATGCTTTCTTAAATGGCAGCATTATTAGTTGTTTCATTCATGACACTTTTTATGGGCCTGGTACACTGGAAGAAGCTTGAGTGGAAGAAGTTTGATAAAATCATTTTTCTTGTTCCTGATTGAACATATTCCAGAATTGTCCAAAGTTTATTTCTGTCCCGTAGTCAGAGTAGCAAAAAGCTGCCTTTGTTAATCAGCTTGATGCATACACCATCAACTTACACAATTTTGTTGCTTCTCAGCAAGCCAACCGCACAAAAAGTTCTCATGCACACCTGAACATATGGCTAAAAATATATAGGAGCTGTAAAAAATAAACCCCAGAATTTAAAAAATAGCCAAACTAGAGCATTTAAGGAAGTAATGGGAAAGGGTATAATAGATAAATATGTAAAAAATATGAGCAAACAAAAAACAAATATGAAAGTAAATTACTAATATGAATAAACTCCAGTAGGTGGAAAGAACTCTTGGTGATATTACCTACAAAGGACCCTCATTTTAAATAGTCAAAAAATAAGTGGCAATGATACGAATAATGAAATATTACAAATCAAGTGAATGCCAGTACAAATGTTATGTTACTTCAGACAGTCTGTATGGAGGTTTCCACTCCCACTTTTAATAAATGCAAAACATTTGAGGTTAAAAAAATGTCATAGGGACTATTTCTTTAACCTTGATCTTTAATAACAGATACTACTACATATAGAGCTAATACAGCTGCCTTAGAGAATTACTAATAGTAAATCTCTGACACCTACAAATAATATTTGAAACTATAAAGTCACCAGAAATAGTACTGCTACAAATAAAAATTCCATTACTTCAAACCCTGAATATTTCAGAAAGGATGTTCCACATACCAGAAAATTCCTGGCTGCTCTCTGAGAACCCTCGCAATCTCCTCTTGCCCAAGGTATGTTGCCAAAGCCCCTCAATAAGTCTTGCACTTTGATGAGACACAGCAGATACTATGCTTCGGTTCAGAGTAAAATATCTACATTTGATCTTTTGGCCAGTATTAATTTGGTAGAAAAAAAGTCCTCTGTTAGGGGAAGAGAAAGAAATATATATTTGTCAAGTTTGAGAGGGAAAAAGGAAGAGAGGGGAAAATAAATTTAAAAAAAAAAAAAAAAAAGGAAAAGTCCCAGCTGTTTTAAGCTTTTCAGAAGTTTGGAATGTTAGCATAAATGCTGGGGGAGGTGGACTGATGGGATGAACTGCAGGTGAGGCGCACAAAGGTGCAGGGTAAATATAATTATTAATGCACGTGACTACCACATACATAATATATTTTACGCACATCATAACAATTAGCTACAGAGGACATACTGCTGTAAGCAACAGGCAAGTACCAAGCAAAATGTCCCCAGACCCCTTAGCTAAGAATATACCTTCATCTAGATCTGTGGCTAGCTCAGAATGGTGGGTACAGAGATAACAAAGATAACAAGGACCTATGGTAAATGCTGCAGCCATACTGTTGTCCTTTACAGATAGGATGGGAACTACATGACCACCGCAGTGGCAAGCAAAGCATAAATCATATTCAAGAGATTCCCAGGGAAGACCACAGTGTGTAACAAGCACCAATACATTTTAGTGTATTGATGTTTGCTAGCCACAGTAGGGAATTTCTGAATAGCCAGATGTGGTATTTTTAGGTACTGATTATATATTTGAAAATTTATCCACTAAAATACTGTATTTTGGGCAGCTGTTAGCCGAATAGTTAGGCATGTTGACTTCCATGAGTTCCAGGTGTTCATTTTCTCCCATATCTCCCATTTGATTTGCAGTATAATTTTGTGGTTGCTTGTGCTTTTCCATTAAAGAAGTTGTCTTCAGTAAGGAGAAGGGAGTTGCTTCTTGGAGGCATCAGAGTCTGCAAATCCTATTGGTGAACTTTGTAAACAGTGCATGCCACACAGTCTTTATGTTCACACTGGAATAATTTAATCTCTCCTTCTTTTTTTTTGTTGATTTGGAATTTAGTTCCTGTTGACTTGACATCCTGGGGATGTTTACTTACTCCCGAGCAGGAAAAGAACATTTTCTGTGTTCTGTATCCCAAGTGATGGATGAATATGGTTGGTTTCTTCTTAATGCAAACACTATTAAGTCTTCAGATCCTGCTGAAGGATTAAAAAAAATTGGCCTAGAATTGACCAGTGCTGTTAAATGTTCTTTAAACCAGACCTGAGGAGTTCTCCTTGGAGCTCCCCTACCTTCTGTTAAGGCAGGCCTGTTATTTCTCAGACTGGTATAAAACATGGTCACAAAAATAAAATTTGGAAATTGTACCATGTATCAATCACTTGGCTAATCTTGGCACAGTCAAGATTTTCATAATTCATCTTATTATATATCTTTCCAAAATATTATTAGAGAAGATGAACTGTTTAGGTCGGTGATTATGTTTCTATCTGTAGTTTATAAATTTTCTTGTGGAAAATAATCCTGAAAATAAATCCTTTTCCTGTACCTGTCTGTACTCACAGCAGGTGCCGTAGAAAGAAAGCATGAGTTACATCAGTTATTCCCAAGACACTGAGACAATAAAAATAAAAAATAAATCTTTCATGATTTCCTCCTCCTATTGTGTTCTGCTGAACCCTTGAATACTGGAGAGCATTTCCAAAGTTTGTTCCACAGAATCAAGCACAGTACATTGAAGCAGAGCACTTAGTAATTTCTGTGGTATTCCCTATTGATATTATAAA